CACTAGGCTTGACTATTAAGAGTGAGTGTCCATATTGAAACGATACATTTACCTATCATTACTTAATGGAGGTAGTCTAAATAATTTGAAATGAACATGGTTTTTCTATCCATATACATATAATTGTGTATATTCATGAATCAGTGTGTCCATACGATATGGTGTAATGTATTAAATTTCTGTGTACATTATACACTAAGTCATTGCACACTTATCCTACGTATTCATCCTATGAAACAGTCAATATACTTGAGTTTATTTAGAATATTAATGATCAACCATTGTATACGGCTCAAATATGTGTTCAATAGTCTCAGTGTAATTCATATTGGACACTGGTCCTATTGATAATACTACAAACTAGTATTGAGTCAAGTCTTCAGAACTTAACTATAAATACTCAAGTCGATTATGATCTCATACTTATGATACACAATTCTCCAGTGTATTATCAATTAATCCGAATTAGAATTGATCCAAATCATAATTGTATACTCGAAATGTAATAATTATGTAGTACACGGTTCATTGTATTAGAATATACACGACATACTGATGAGTAATGCAACCAATACGTATGGTACAATTACATACTTGTAATGTACTCTATGTGTATCACATAGAGTATACATATGGTACAATTACATACGTGTCATAAGATGTACACTATGACACAATGATAGTGTATTGTCAGATACACGAATAATATGTTGGTCATAGGCTAATACAACTAGTGTCTTATAATTATACAATAGACACTATTATTGTATCATGAATATAGTAACTATATTCATACACTAGGATGTACCTGATATTGAACTAATTCTAGTAGATATGTTTAAACACATCTGTGATTTATGTACTATAAATCACTAATATGTAGATACGGTGTATACTTATATATCTCAATATACATAGTTAATATAACAAGTATTGATAAACATCGTATGACCGAGTACATGATATCTTAATCCATGTAAGTACTTCATGATATCATAGTCAAATTTAACCAGTGTATATAAGTCACAATATTACTATTATACATAATAGTATTTTAATGGATAATACAACACGTACGTATTATCCATTAACACGACTATGATAATTTGTATAACTCTATAAACTGGATACACTCTTAATTCTCTGATAACATTAAGAACTACTATTTGTTAATAAACTCATCGAGTTTATTAACAATAATGTTCCCTATTGGAGTAATGGGAATTAAATCTCGACTAATATGGACAAAAATCCACACTTAATGGACTTGTCATACGATTTGACTTACAGGAAACAGTTATCCTGGTATATTGTCTAAATCGAGTTTAATCGGGTAACCGAGCACACGTATTTTATCCGAGACTTATTGACATACTATAAATAGACATGATTAGATCAGGCTACTTATACGATATCATGATGTAGTATACACTCAGTTAAATATTCATCTGCACTAGATATAACACATTATGTACTGAAATACAAAATGTGTTAAATCCTGATATAAGTATCAATGATCATTAGTAAATGGTGAGTATTTACTACAATACTAGATTCTCACCCGCGCGATGCATGGGACAAAATACAATCAAAACATGTAAAAAATTATATAACGCAATAACATCCAAGGTTGATAAATTATTATAATTATTATAATTATAAATCAAAAATGGTGAAGAGATCGAAGCTATATAGTAATATTCTATATGCACAATATGAAATAGTTAAGAAGAGTAAATGTTAATGTTTACTATGTTCCAAAAGCACACAAAATGTAATCACTACATCGAAGTAACAAATCATAAATTTTGATGAAATTATTACAAAAATGTACAAAACATACAAAATTCATTACTGCCTCTATCCCCAAAAAGTTCGTCATATTGACTTTTCTTGGTAAATGATGGTAAACTTTGGACACTGAATTTTTATACTTTTTATGAAAATATTTTGAATAAGGAACATTTTGATATAATTTTTATGCTCCGTATTCAAAATAACTTCATATTAAAAAATGTCATTGGTCAAAATTGGTGACCAATAAAAATCAATTTGATGGAGTAATATAAATGTAATAAGATTACGAATGTAATACTGAATAGATTAAAAAAAAGATTTGAATTTATCAATTATTTCTCATATATTTTTGGGATCCTTTTTTGTTAAAGAAAATAAACATTTCAACTTCATGATAGTTGGGGTTATGTCTAAAATAATACTAAAAAAAGAGCTATGAACAAAAAAGAGACCTTTATTTCAATTTTCCAAAAATGAGACTAACAATGGGTTAAGAGACTATTATAGCCTTATTTTAATAGAATCTCACCCATTAGTCTACAATAACGCCACAGTGACCAAAACCATTATCGTGACCAAAATTTGTCACTGACCAAAAATCATTTGTGACCAAAAATCCAAAAATTCGTCAGTGACCAAAATCATTAGTGACAAAAAATTCTACCTAGTTACCAACGTCAACCCGTCCAGTGACCAATCCGACTAGTGACCATGACCAATCCACCCAGTGACCGAAAATCATTTGTGACCAAAATTCCAAAAATCCGTCAGTGACCAAAATCATTAGTGACCAAAATTTTTACCTAGTTACCAACGTCAACCCGTCCAGTGACCAATCTGACTAGTGACCATGACCAATCCATCTAGTGACCAAAACTAATTTGTGACAAAAAATCCAAAAATCCGTCAGTGACCAAAATCATTAGTGACCAAAAATTTTACCTAGTTACCAACGTCAACCCGTCCAGTGACCAATCTGACTAGTGACCATGACCAATCCACCCAGTGACCAAAAATCATTTGTGACAAAAAATCCAAAAATCCGTCGGTGACCAAAATCATTAGTGACCAAAAATCATTTATGACCAAAAATCCAAAAATCCGTCAGTGACCAAAATCCGACTAGTGACCATGACCAATCCACCTAGTGACCATGACCAATTCACCCAGTGACCAACCCGATCACTGACTGTGACCAACCGATCAATGACCAACCCGATTAACGTTCGTGACAAATCCGACCAGTGACCAATCCGACTAGTGACCAACCCGACCAGTTATAGTTACCCGACCAGTTACAGTTACTCGATTTGACCAGTTACAGTTACCTGATCCGAAGTTATAGTTACCTGACCCGTTACCGTTACTCAGTTGGCCGGTGCTAGCCACCACCGCCAGGTAACACCTCCTGCTGCCGCCGCCGCACACCCTCCAGCAGGACCACCGCAGCTACAGCCCCCTTCCGTGCAACCCAATTCCCCTGCACAAACGCTGCCACAAACCGCCCCAGCCCCTGCAACTACCACATCCCACATTTGGTACCCAACCACTGCACATCATCGCCTTCCCCAGCGATGAGTGCCGCCGTACCTGCAACCCCCTTCCCAACCCCAGCCCTTGCACAATCATAGCCCCACACCGGCACCTACCCCCTGCAATCGCCGCATATTGCGGCTACATCCGTCCCCCAACCCCAGCGGACTACCGCCCTCTCCAAAAAACCCTAGCCTCCACGCCGATTTGAAGTACAGCCAAGACTCTTCGTCGCCAATCGCAGTACATCTCTACGCAGACAGAAATTGAGAAGAAGTGGAGGAGGAGGAGCGGACGGGGATCCGGAGGCGGAGGCGGAGGCGACGACTGATTGGCGGTGACCGGAAGACAGAGGAGAGGCGGTGACCGGAAGACGAGGAGAGGCGGTGACCTGACTTTGAAGGCGTAGGCGAGGTAACGCAAACCTGCAATTGGAGGAGAGGAAGCGTTGAAGTGCAGACCTCGATTTGGAAAAAGGGCAGCGCACGTTTGTTTAGTCTCTTTTGTGTCCTTTTTAAACCGAGTCCTATTTTTGTCAAGAGGAAAGTGGGGACTCTTATTTTGGCCATTATTTCATGATAGTTAGCGCATTTAAATTCGGATAAACCAAAGACAATAACACATTTTAATTTTCCAACCCACAACCCAAATATCTAAATAGGAAAGAAAAAATTACAAATATATTACTACTTTAGACCTTATTAACAAATATATGACCACGGGTTACTAATGTGAGTGCACTAACTACCTTCATTACTAAAAAAACTGCCCTTCGTATTTGTATTAGTGAAGAGTGAGTCACATTTTTGTAAACTTAATACTATTGGTAATATATAGGTAAAAAACTCAATAGGAAACCCTAACTATATAAACTCTCTATTCCCAAACTCCACCTTTAACCAACTTCGCTCTAGAACAGAACCTGCGCAGACATCGGCTAATACGATGCTCTTCACCTTTCTTCTTCTACCTTCAATCGCCTGCCTCTCTTCTTCTATCTTCAATCCAACCATAATCATTGATCTTCTCTAAGTCCAAGCCTTCATAGTTGTTTCAGTAAAAGCAATGGGCTACGCCATAAATCGACAATATAATGATTAGTTATCCTCCTATTGGTCTTCATATTTCCAACTGACTCACTGCATCTTGGTCTATGAATCGGATCCTCCTATGGAGACCTTTTCGTTCGTTGTGTACGCCCTGTGTATTGGAGTGGTATCCCTGTAAGTTGGTGTGGAGATGTGCAAGAAGGAAAAAGGGCTGCTATGCCGGTCATTAATTACTTACGGCTGAAGCGGGAAGAAGGTTCCAGGACACAATTATTTGGGTGGACCATTCTCTTGATTAAAATAATTCCGTTTGTTATTATTTTAAGTTTTCCTTTTCTTCTTAAAACTCTCGTAAGACCTGAAATTAGAGTTCAACTCTAAGTAAAACTCTTGTAAACTCATCTATATAAATATAGTGCAATGGCCGGTGGTTTTTTTTCAAGACTGGAGGACTACGAAGGTCGTTTTTTCCACTGTAAAAATCTGTGTGCTCTGTTCTTTTCTTTGATTAATATTTATTCATATTAATCACTTTGATTCTGGGACATTGTTAAAGGATCGATTGAATCCTGTTGGGATTGGAAAATTCTTCTATTCAATATCAAGAACAGAATTACAATAGGAGGAGCAAACTCTCACACTCAACTATTACAAAAAACCAATCCTCACCAATACACTTCTACTCTAAGTGTATTTCACTCTTCACACACTTTTCTCACTTTCTAAACTGATGATATGAACAACAATAGAACACTTTATTTATAGGCTAAGTTGGAGACAAGAGGAAGTTGCATCCAAGCTTCCTAGTTATCTCCATATCTCCTTCCATGTTCATGTGTTTGATAGCTCCTTCCTAGAAGGTGTTATATGTCTCTTGGCAACTTCCAAGAAAGAAGGTGGAAACTCTCTACAAATCTCCCCCTCCACCTTTTTCTTTATTTCTCTCGTTCATGCGATGCTCGGAGGCTCCCCCTCGCTAGCAACAAGTATCCATTCGGATGTGGAATACTTTCTTTGTGGAACTATGCCTCGCATAGAACGTCGAACATGAATACCTTCAGCTTCATCTTCAGATGAAGGCTTCCCCTGCTGAGGAATATCATCATCTACTGAACCATCACTCTCTTGTTCAGTAGTATCATGCATCTCCTCGTCGCTGAGAGGAATGTTTGATGATGCAGGCACTTTGTCTTCTAGAGTATGTTGTTGGCGGATTATTGGAGCACACCCATGAAACTCGTTTTCATGAAATACAACATCTCTGCTTCGTACAACTTTCTTCAATTTGGGATCCCACAACCGGTATCCGAATTCTTCATCACCATACCCGATGAAGATGCATGGGTTTGACTTGAGATCCAGCTTCTGTCTCAACTCCTTGGACACATGTGCAAATGCCTTGCACCCGAACACTTTTAAGTGAGAGTAAGAAACATCTCTTCCTGACCATTTCTTCTCTAGCACTTCAAAGTTTAAACGAACAGAAGGTGACCTATTTATAAGATAACAAGCTGTCAGCACAGCTTCACCCCAAAATGGCTTAGGTAGTTTAGCCATACTCAGCATGCAACGAACTTTCTCCATAATGGTCCGATTCATTCTTTCGGCTACACCATTGTGTTGCGGACTTCGTGGAACCGTCTTTTCATGTCTAATTCCATATGAGGCGCAATATGCTGAGAACTCCCGAGAAGTGTACTCTCCTCCATTGTCTGAACGCGGGCACTTCAGCTTCTTCCCTGTTTCTCTTTCTACCATGGCATGAAATAATTTGAAGCGATCAAACACTTGATCCTTACTCTTCAAACAATAAGCCCATACCTTTCGTGATGCATCATCAATGAATGTCACGAAATATCTGCTTCCTCCAAGTGACTCCTCTTCAATGGGTCTGCATACATCAGAGTGTACAAGACTGAGTAACTCTGAATGGTTCTTCCTGGTAGAACTGAAGGAAACCCTGTGTTGTTTCCCGAATAGATAGTGTTCGCATAGATCTAGGGCAACACCTTTGCCCATGGAAATGACGTCCTTCTTTGCAAGAGTTGTCAATCCCTTCACGCTCAAGTGGCCTAGCCTCCGGTGCCACAAGTTTGGTGATATCTCTTCTTCAACAGCATTAAGACTTGGATGACACAACTTTGCATGAGTTTTATAAAGAGTACCACAAATATGGCCTCTTGCAACAACCAAGGAACCTTTAGATAACTTCCACGTACCTTCTTTGAATCGGTTAAGATATCCTTGTTGATCCAGAGCTGTACCGGAGATAAGATTCAATCTAAGATCCGGAACATGTCGAACATCTTTCAACAAAAGTGCGCATCCGACATTGGTTGTTATGTGCACATCACCAATGCCAACAATCTTCGAGAAACTCGTGTTTCCCATCTTCACAGCTCCAAAGTCTCATGACTTATAAGATGTGAAAAAGTTCTGGTGTGGAGTAGCGTGAAATGATGTGGCTGTATCAATCACCCACTCAACATCATGAGTACCTACGTGTAAACATTCTTGTTCACCATGTGTAACAAGACACACGTCTGATGACAAACTAACCATGGTCTCACCGTCTTCTTGGCTAGTATTTTGACTCGTCTGTGGCTGCTCTCGTAGAAACTTTCTACAATCTCTTTTTCTATGCCCATAGTTACCACAATAGTTGCAATATCCTTCAAACCAAGTATTGTTTTCACAGGACATACCTCGTTCTTGTGATCGGCCGCGAACTTGAGAATTTCCTCTGTTTTGACCTTGGCCTCTACCTCGACCTCTACTTCTTCCTCCATTTCTGCCTCCCCCTCGTCTGCTGGTTTCTGACACGAAGTCATATGATTGTTCAGTCCCGGCTTCTTTTCTTCGGGCTTCTTCGTTCATAAGGGCATCTGTGACCATCTGCATAGTCACTTTGCCATTGGGAGCAGAATTGCTGAGAGTGACAACAAGAGTCTCCCAGCTGTCAGGTAGAGAGCTCAAGAGTAGTATCGCCTGCTCTTCATCTTTGAGAACCCATCCAGTGGTGCTCAACTGATTCACAAGATCCCGGAATTGACTGGTGTGTTCTGACACCGAATTACCTCCTCGTAACTTGTGGTGTACTAATCTCCTCATTAGTAACGTCTTATTTCGGGCGGTTTTTGCTTGATACATGCTACCAAGCTTCTCCCATAGTGTGTAAGCACTTTGTTCTTGCGCAACATGGTGGAACACACTATGATCTATCCACTGTCGAATTTGTGTGACTGTTTTTCTATTCATTTTTGTCCATTCTTCATCTGTCTTTTTATCCGGTTTCACGCCATTATTATCAAGAGGATCGGCTAAATCCCTCAAATTTAGCAAATCCTCCATGCGAGGCTTCCACATATTGTAATTTGTGGAAGTGAGCGCAATCATGGTGTCCGATGATGATTTATCCATAATAAAACGCTCAAAATATCTCGTACCTTATTTTCGGAGCCGAATTTGGACAAACGGAGCTCACCGTTGGATCCGGAATGGCCGAAAATGGTAGGAACTGGTCTGACCTCGTCCAAAACCGGTCTGAAAATGGGTGAACCGGCCTCCACAACTTCGAACCGGTTCGGTCCGGTTCAAGCAGCAAACCAGTGGGCAGACCAGCAGGCGGATGACGTGGCAACAGCTGGACTGCGCTGGCGCTGACGTGGCGCCACGCGGCGCTGACGCGGCAACCAGAGGATGGCTTGCACGGATGACGTGGCGGCTGACATGGCGCTTACGTGGACTGACGTGGCGCTGACGTGGCGCTGACGTGGCGGCTGACGTGGCTCGCCTTCTTTCTCTGGACTGCGTGATGATGCAATGATGACGCAGGCAGTTTTCCGGCGCGTTTGGGCGGCGCGTACGGCCTCTTCCGGTGGCCAAAAAATTCCCCAAAAATACCAGATTTCTCGTCTCGACGAGACGAATCTAACGGTATGATCAGATCGTGATTCCGAGCAACTTGAAAAATCACGATTTTCTAACCTGTAGAAATTTATCTGAAAATGAGAAAACAGTGTATGAAAACTCAACCTCGCTCTGATACCACTTGTTGGGATTGGAAAATTCTTCTATTCAATATCAAGAACAGAATTACAATAGGAGGAGCAAACTCTCACACTCAACTATTACAAAAAACCAATCCTCACCAATACACTTCTACTCTAAGTGTATTTCACTCTTCACACACTTTTCTCACTTTCTAAACTGATGATATGAACAACAATAGAACACTCTATTTATAGGCTAGGTTGGAGACAAGAGGAAGTTGCATCCAAGCTTCCTAGTTATCTCCATATCTCCTTCCATGTTCATGTGTTTGATAGCTCCTTCCTAGAAGGTGTTATATGTCTCTTGGCAACTTCCAAGAAAGAAGGTGGAAACTCCCTACAAATCCTGGCAGTCGTTTTTCCCTAACAATCCCAACCTTGGCTAGTGTGATGGGTATAATCCGAACTCTATTTTGGGGTTTTTGAATTTAAAATACATATAACCCAGGTTTTTTTTTTGTAAATAATAGCTTTTGGTTGCATATGAGATGTATCTGTGAGAGAGCGTCGGTTGAAACGTTTTGAAATAAAATTAGGGATTTTAAATTAAAACTCACCTTTTTGTAAAAATTCAAACAAATCTGTTTAAAAAGGTTATCATGTAAATCTGATTTTAAACATTACTACTTTTACTTGTTGATATAATTATGATGATTTCAAAATGATTAATCAAAACTACCAGGTCTTTCTTGATTGAAACTGTTTTTACTGATACAGATTACACATTCAAAATGTTAGATACTCCCTCCGTCCCAGGGAGAAGTTCACGGGTTGACTTTCACACATATTAAGAAAATAAAGTTATTGAGGGGTAAATTTTACTTTTTGACACTGTTTTGACACTGTTTGGCACTGTTTCGACACTGTTTGGCATTGTTTTGCACTGTTTGACACTGTTTTGATAGAGGATAACTTTCCATTTAGGGAAATGAGAACTTTTTGTTGAGACTTCCAAAAAAGGAAAGTGGGAACTTGACCCTGGGACGGAGGTAGTATTTGATACACATATAATTTATTAAATTGAATTTTTTCAACATATAGGAGTATGTGATTCAATTGTTATCCATTCTGCATGAGCTGTTTTCCTATACTCTGTAGTAAGCTAGCTTACTTAATTACCTGGAAGCTACTATCCATTTATTAAAGCTTGAATTTTGAAACAAAATGCCAATAACAGTCCTAGAACTCAAAACCAACTATTTTCCTTTGAAACTGTCCACTTTACAACTATTTTCAGTAGAAGATATCCTTTTTATAATATCTTTATCAGGCAGCAAAAGTAATTTTCCTTAGTTGGATTTTCTTTCATATCTAGCCTTTTATTATTATATGTTTTAAGGTATTTTCAGTTTGTCTTTAGCTATTGCTATTACACAATGGTTTAAATAATTTCAGTTTCATATAGGTTGTTATTAATGGGATGCTATAAAATAGCTATTTATATTTGTCATTACCATTTTGTTTAGAAGCTATATTAGTTTCTTCATTATTTATTATTTATAATCTAAACACCAAATCAACAGCTATTTATGTTTCTCATTACCTTTTTATTTAGAAGCTATATCAGTTTCTCATTAGTAATTCTTATAATCTAAACTCTAACATTGTTTGGTTCTGAACTAAGCTTAGGACAGAAGCTGTTTTTGATTGTTCTCTCTACGAAGTTTTCATTTGATGTGCATACCAACGAATAACTATGCATTACTTAATAATACTCGTATATGTGTATTTGATTTTTCCTGACTTGTTTAAATGCATGCTTCTAATAGTGATGGTATCTAAAATATTGTAATATTGTAATTAAAATTTTCTTATTCAAACATCTTATTCATCATATATCGTCCAGGTTTCAAATAATCCTTCTGCTTTAGATGCTACTTGTAGCATTCCTGGTTTTATCAGAGTTTTTAGAAAAATAGGTAACCTGCACAAAAAAAATGCAATTATTAATTAACAAGTCATTTGAACAAAGGTTGCTGCTTAAATACTTGAGTACTTCATTGATAATAAAGATTTATATAAGATTTGTTTTTATCTTTTTGTATGCAAAACAGCTTAAACAGCACAAAGATGTACCCATATCTTACCCGTTTTTTCTTTGACCTGCATACAAACTTGTGCCATTTTTTAGAAGCAAAATCCCTCCCTATAAATGTATTAAGATATAGAGCTATTAACCTTACATGAGAACTATTAGTCTTGCACATTGAAATGCAAGAGTTTTGAAAAGATATGTCATTCCTCTTCATCATCACACCTTGCCGTATTGAATGTCATCCACTGCTATCAGGTTGGCTTGAGATGAAATGAAATGATGAACTCGGAAGTATTTTTAGAGCAATAGATGAAGTTCTTTACTAATGAGAGTAAATAACCAATGGTTAATACATGTTGTATTACACACAAATTCGTACTACGGACCTACAGTATAATAGCACATCTCTTAAAGGACAGTTGTTCTGCAACTGGTGTCTATTACAACTTTCGGCCACCATCAACTCAGTGTACAAATCATTTAATGTTTTCTTTAATTTAATATCAAAAAATAATTTAAAGGACAACACAATATAAATTTGAATCCTAGAGCCGTATTAACCATGGGGATATTGAAATGACATTTGATTTTGTAGTACAACCTCCTTCCGTCCCAAAATGGTTGGCCAAATTTCCTTTTTTGGCCGTCCCAAAAAGGTTGGCCATTTTCATTTAAAGTAAGGAATATGTGGCTAAAGTTAATTCTCTCTCCTCTGCACAAATTTTAACCATACAGTTTTTACTTTATTAATCCACGTGCAAGTCAACATTGGCCAACGATTTTGGGACGGAGGGAGTATTAAAGTTGGTCCTCTCTTTATCATTGTGATTCATGCAGCCCCATTTGATGTCCTTTTTATTTAATGCCAAACAGTCTTTGGCCAAGAAGCTATAAAAATAGACCCAACCCAGCCAGAATTGCATTTCAAATTACACAACGTGAAATAATCTGCCAGTCAGCTCTCTAGACCTGACCCGACCCGCTTTAAACCCGAACTGCCCCTCTGATGTGACGTTTTTGAGCGGGAATACTGTGCAAAATTTATCCTCCTTTTGTATAATAGAAGATATGTGTCAATAGGATACATAGTATACACTCAATTGTATACCAAATTGTATTTGTCATAGGCATATACAGTCTATGACAAATGAAATCTCATTGTTACACATACGATAATATGCGGGTAATGACTAGTCGTGTGTAACTTAGTCCAAGTCATTAATGTATCGTTAGATTGTCACTACATATATGGTATAGTATTTTCTCATACACTGAAGACTTGTATGTTGTTTTTTATTCATATTTTGGACTTGATTCGTGAATATTTTCGGAAAATCTTTTAAGAATAAAATATTTATCATACGAGTTACAATTTATTATATTTGTAATGAGATCCTATTAATGTATCTTAATTGTGTTTTGTATGTATAAGCTTGTGTAGTGACCTACTTATACAGTGTTAATTTGAAGATTATCTATTCAGTATACGAGAATAGTTAAATGATCCATCATTTCAAATTTATAACACAAGTTTCAATATAAGCTTGTGTAGTGAATACAAGTCAAGCTTATAGTAAGAATATCAAAAGCTTGGAATTGCAACTTGAGTACCCAATTCTCGTTCCGATGTCGTATTCAAAATTTAAGTCAATCTTCGTGACTCGATTGATTTAGTAAGCCTGAAAACACTGGGTCCATATTAATTTGCGTAGGGAATGAAATTTTGTGAGCCATATGGAACGAGAATTGTGTGTTTTTGCATAGAGAACCCATTGCAACTCGAAATGAGATCATCCGATGTCGTATTCAAAATTTAAGTCAATCTTTGTGACTCGGTCGATTTAGTAAGCCTGAAAACACTATAGATTTGTATGTTTTTTTCTATTCATAATTTGGACTTTAGTCTTGAACGAGAATTGTGTATTTTTGCATAGGGAACCCATTGCAACTCGAAATGAGATCATACGATGTCGTATTCAAAATTTAAGTCAATCTTCGTGACTCGGTTGATTTAGTAAGCCTGAAAACACTGAAGACGTGTATGTTTTTTCTGTTCATAATTTGGACTTGAGTCGTGAACGAGAATTGTGTATGTTTGAATAGGGGAACCCATTGCAACTCAAAATGAGATCATCCGATGTCGTATTCAAAATTTAAGCCAATCTTCGTGACTCGGTTGATTTAGTAAGCCTGAAAAGAAGACTTGTATGTTTTTTTCTATTCATAATTTGGACTTGAGTCGTGAACGGGAATTGTGTATTTTTGCATAGGGTACCCATTGCAACTCGAAATGAGATCATCCGATGTCGTATTCAAAATTTAAGTCAATCTTCGTGACTCGGTCGATTTAGTTAGCCTGAAAACACTGGAGACTTGTATGTTTTTTTCTATTCATATTTTGGACTTGAG